AAGTGTTTTGACTGAGCAATCCCCTCCGACAAACAGAAAAACAGGTGAATTGTCCCAGCTGTTCGGTGATTCGAGTCGAAGCTCTTTGGAAAGATCACTTGTCATCAGGTAATAATAGTCCTCCACCGCAGAGAAACATAAACTATAAGTCAAAATGCGTTTTTATTAGCAAAGCAACGGTTCACAGTTCCAACCCTGTATATACTGAACTTCTGTTTAGTTCCCCACCGCTCCATATGGCTGCCTGGAGTACATAGGAATTTTTGGTGTATCTATGGATGAAGAGCGTGTGACTCCCACAATAAAGTGCTGGTTGCCAGGAGGCTGTATGCCAAAAAGCATCACTGTCACACGGACGCATGGAGAGAGTTCTCTGCAAGGCCCGACCAGAGTGACTTGGAGCTTACACACAGAACCTTCTCTTCTCTTCCATCTCCCATAACTGATCACCTATGGGTGTGAAGGTAAGTAAAAGGAACCTGCTGTAAAACCTTCACTGTCACATGGGACGCATGGAGTGAGTCCTCTGCAAGGCCCGACCAGAGTGACTTGGAGCTTACACACAGCACCTTCTCTTCACACCCATGGGTGATCAGCTATGGGAGATGGAAGGGAAGGTAAGTAAAAGGAACCTGCTGGAAAACCTTCACTGTCACATGGGACGCATGGAGAGAGTCCTCTGCAAGGCCTGACCAGAGTTACTTGGAGCTTACACACAGAACCTTCTCTTCCCTTCCATCTCCCATAACTGATCACCTATGGGTGTGAAGGTAAGTAAAAGGAACCTGCTGTAAAACCTTCACTGTCACATGGGACGCATGGAGAGAGTCCTCTGCAAGGCCTGACCAGAGTGACTTGGAGTTTACACACAGAACCTTCTCTTCCCACCCAAGGGTGATCAGAGTTATAGAGAATGGAAAGGGAGGTAAGTAAAAGAAACCTGCTTGATCGGCATATAAAGTGCCTTTATAACCAGAACCCTTTTTTTAATAGGGAAGGATTAGATCCCCTGTTTGGGATGCCATACATGATGCTACAGGCTGCCTGCATATTGTTCTCAGGTTTTGCAGACTCTTAGAGAAGCAGTGAACCAGTTATACCAACATTAGTGAAAGGACTTTTGGAAATTCTGTCTATAGTTGTATGTTCTAAGGATGGAAGGACTTTTTTTCTTTTTAGCAGTTTTTAAGAAATCCTGGCTGGGAGCAGAGAAAAATGGAAAGACAATAATTAGTACCAAACAAATGAAAAGGCTTTTTGTCAATGATTAGTGATTTTATCATTTATTCTAACAAAAGGGATTTTTTGGGGGCACAGGTGACCTATACTCACCATGCCCATAAGCCAGATGCATGATCTTTTATGTTTTATTCACCTCATTTGTCAAGTGCTTTAGAGCCTTTCTCATATACATCCTTGGTAAAAGCTTCCAAAGTATCACCTATTCACAGCATGGAAAGTTAAAGTCCTGCTTCAGCCAAAATATACTTTTCATTTTTGTGAGAAAGAGAACATCTCTTTGGTGGGGAGATTCCCTCACTTCCTGTTCCAGTGACCACAAAGTGAAGAGAATCTCTCCAGTGGGAATATGACCAGCAATAAAAAAAAATGGAAAAAGAATGCAACCTTTCTCCAAAGTACTAAATAAAAGTGCTTTTACTGTTGGCTGTGCCACCATTGTTGAAATTCCCTTGGGAAGATGATTTTTACAGAGAGGACCGTGTGTCTCTCGGTAGAAATCATGTGACCAATTCTGCAGACCTGTCATCTCAGAGTTTGAACTATATTTGCTTGTAGAAAAGGTTTGTTTTTTCAAACCCTTGACTGATGATGAGCAGCATAAATGTGACAGTTAATTGCTTTTTTTTTTATAATGATAGGTTCACATTAAAAGAAGATGAGGGATTCAGCTAATTTTAGGTAGTTAAGAATATTCTTGGTTAACCATATTCCTTTACTTTAAACATACGTCAACTTTGCCATTCTTTGAAATGATAAAGATGAATGCAATGTCAGGATGAGTCCACTTTTAGCCCCAATAAGTTGGGTGACAGAATTGTTCACTGCTCTTGCCTCCGGCACGGCACAGGTTAACACCCAAACATGTGAGGCCCCAGTTGTTACCTTAGGCGAGTTCATTTCAAGACATCCTCCCCACCTGGGGCCTGCAGGATGTTGCTGCAATTGACGTAAGTAAATCAATGTTACTTGATCCCGGATTGTCGGTTACATTATCTCCTGTCTTAGGGCACTTTTTTCATTCTGCCTGCATTGTTTGCCATCAGGCCGGGTTACATGCAGTGTATGAACCTAAAATATAGAAATGCTTGTGTCAGGTTAGAACGAACCGCCTAAGATGCCTCGATAACGTTGTGCATTTATTTAACGATATGTCAAATGACATTGACTTGTATAAATGAAAGCTGGCAGCCAGCTCAGTGGAAACTGTGCTTCCTATCCAAAAATAATAAGAAAAATCTAAAAGGAAAAAAAAAGTAGTTTAAGTAATGGGGAATGTAATATATAAATGTGATCTGAATGGTCTCGTAAAGCACTCAAATTGACAGTAGAAAAATAAACGAATCGGTCTTTCGTGTCTGTCCGCTTCCCTTATTACTTTAAAACTATTTTGTTATGTCTACGTAACTTTTTAAATTTTTTTTATCTACTCTGTGCCAACCACTTTTCCAGAGAGCACTCAGTTTTAAAATAGAACTATAATTAAAAACTTAAAATCAATATGTACTGCAACATTCAGAGTTGGGAATTTATAAAGCCATATATCATTGCCTTCCTCTGTGAATGATTGCCCCCTTGTCCTCATAACGTTCACTGTGCTCGCACAGACTAAATCAGGATGTGGTGACGCTGGGTTTGTAGGTTTAAACCAAAGGTTGTCTCCCCTAATAAACAAGCTCTACTCTAAGTTTATCTATCAGGCGCTGGTCATGCCCATCCCCACCCGACCCATCAAGCCCTGCCCATTGTTTGTGACATTTTAGATGGTTTTGCAAACATGCCCCTTTTAGGTCTCATTCACACGAGAAAAGGCAGGCACGTATAGCTGCGTGCGCAGCCGTATAGGGCAGCTTCGGGAAGGACAGGTGCTGTGTGTGATTAGTACGTAGCCCCTGTCCTTCTCTATAGGAGTACGCGGCAGTACGCCTCCCTACGCTCACCCGCCCTGCACGTCCGTGTGGGTTTGGGTGTCTGTATTTGTACGCTGACGGGATGGATCCTGTCTGCGTCCGAGCCGGGATACCCTGCACCCGTATGGACCTGCACTTGGGGTGAGCATAGGGCGGCGTATGGCCGCATACTCCCATAGAGAAGGACAGGGGGCTGCGTACTAATCACACGCAGCACCTGTTCTGCTCGGGAGCTGCCCGATACGGCCACGCACGCAGCACGGAGCTATACATGCCGGCCTTTTCTCGTGTAAATGAGGCCTTATACAGATAGAGATGGGAAAGAATACTTGGAAATGTAGTCCTAGCACTTCTGCATTTGTAACAGTGTCAGCACAGCATTGTACTTTTACAAACCCAAGTAAGGAAAGAGGCAGGAAAAATGTAATGCTGCGTAAATTGCATGGCTACAATTGGTAGGAAAGTAAATATATAGAAACATATACAGTACACACACACAAAGTTAATGGCTGGTAGCAATGACTGTTTATTACTTGCTGGCTCAAAAATGCTGATAGGCAAATGGAGAATGCAAGGGGGAGAGCACAAGGAATTTGTTTTCATATACTAGTAGGTGGCAAGATTTAATGTCTCAGATATTACATGAGAGAGAGGAGAGAAAAAAGTAAGAGCAATTATGAGATTGATTGATTCATAAAGGTAAATGATTATTAGAGAAAACAAAATCAAGAGTTGTGGTGGAAGTAGCTGAAAGAGGCAATTGTTCCACAAGGCTTGTGAATCCAGATCTTTCCCAGTGTTGGAGATGTAATATAAGCATTTAAGACAAAAATGGGAAATCATTTTGAACAATATTGGAGATTAATGCTGACACAATTAGGAGAGTTCTATGAGCGTGAAATTATAAAAATGGGTAAAGAGCTGGGAAGAAGCACTGGGAACAAACTGGAGATCTGGGATAGAAAAATGGCAAGATCACTGATGTCCAAGAGATGGAAAGTTGGAAAGATGGAGGGGAATAAATTAGATGCTTCCAGTGCAGGGAGTGGGTAGTCCTTGCAAACACAAAGAAAAGGAAAACGGATTTGGGGAAGGAAGATTACAAGGAGTAAAGGAGGAAAATATAATAAATAGAAATTACAGACATGGAGAAAACCAAGAGAAGGGAATAGAAAGTAATATAATGGAATTAAAGAGATGGACACGGTGGGGGAAGCTGGGAGTACAGATTTGGGGGAGGCATGTCCTTTTTTTTTTATAGTGCTAGAAAGAACAAGAACGGAGCACAGGAGGAAAGGGAGAAATAGGGAGAGGAGAGAATGGGGGCACAATAGGCACAAATATGGTAATTAAGTGGTGATATTTACAATGTTTGTAGATATAGAGGATAGATGAATAGTAATGACCTAGGAAGGAAAGGAGAAAGGTCTATATGGCTTTGGGAAAATGTGGGTTTGTCTGTTTTTAATAATTTTTTGACCTCAAATTGGCATTCCTCAAGCTGTCTGGCTCCAGCAGTGTGGTAATACTTCTCTATGGGTCGTGTTCAGAAAAAAATGTTCCATCCACCCAGTAGCACCCACGTCATGCTGTGTAAAAGTAATGTTGCTGTGGATTAAAGATGGGGGCGTGTAGGTAGCTGTACTGTTCTAACGCGCTAAGGCTTCCGTACACATCGATCCCAGACATTACCCTGTTGCCCTGCATGGGTATAACATAACAATCGGAAATATAAATATAATGTAACTGAGATGAACTCAGATCACATTTAACATTGTCTTGTGTCTTTTATGGTGATGCTTAAAAAAATGAGCTTTTCCTGATATTATACGTTTAATTTCTGTTTTCCAGAAAAAGATCTATAAGTACAAAAAAGTTCTGAGTAATCCAAATCGCTGGGAAGTGGTACTGAAGGAGATCAGGACCTTGGTGGACATGGCGTTGACTTCCCCTCTGCAAGATGATTCTATCTACCAGGCACCACTAGAAATTGTCTCCAAGTTACTCTCGGAGGTAAGACTTGCCATGGATTTTTTTTCATGCTTTCAATAATATTGGAAGAGTCTTGGTGCTTCTCTCTGTATGTTGCTACCACTTACAGGCTTACTCCACCATTAGAACTACAAATACGATTGACAAATATAGAGTTATAAGTATATAGTTGCACAACATATCAAAACTTAATTTATAAATTATTATTAAATTAGGCGCACATTAGGACAGCTGTAGAAACAAACCTTTTCTATGACAGTGTATAAAAGGACACTCTGTCAGATGTTATTGGGCTCAGATGCAAAAACTAATTGAGAAATTACAGTTATCGTTTTAGCCCAGCCTAAAATTGAAACCGCGCCCTTAACAACTCCCCCTTCCCTGCCCCAACATCTTCTTCAACATCTCTATACAAAATCTTCATTCCTCTGGCCACACCTGTCACACCCCATAGACTTTTATGATCCTGTAAACCCAAAGGATCCAGTAATACATTGACCAATCCAGGATACATTTTAAAGATGGCCCCATAGACCTCTATTGGGATCAACTGGACTGGGATTTCAGATTTCAGCTACATTCCTGAAGATTCCGGCAAGCCACTGCAATCCAAAAGCAGTCAGTATGCACCTGAGCTGGGGAGACAAGGGTTTAATTTAGGCTGGGGGGGCTGAGGGCATCTTTTTAAGTTTAGTCCTCCTGATCTCAGGGTCCAAGGCACATATTGACCTTCACCTCCCTGAATGTTTCCTGAATTTTTAAGTGCTTTGTGCTGACTGTAGAAACCAATACACTTTTTTTTTTTTTCATTTTCAAAGCAACCCAATAAAAACCTGATAGAGGGTCTTTTCCTTTGCTGTACCAGTCTAGCTTTGCAGAGTGTGGGATTTATGCTCTCATAAGCGGGCAGCCTGTTTCATCTGATAAGTTATTAGTTCGCTGATTGCTTTTATTTGTTCCCCACTCATTGCCTTAAGATATAAAGGCAGACCAGAAAATCAGGAGTGTTTCTTATTGCCAATTTCTTATATGCTTCTTTTTTCTCAACGCTTGGGCTTCACCAGTCACACACAAAAACCCCCTGACTCATTTGTGCTCAATTGACAGTAAAATTAATGGTCGTAGTTTATTGTATGCAAAGAGAGTTTGTCCAAATGAGGAAGCAGCGATGTAATATGTTTTGGCAAAATTAATTTTGTACGTGTTGAGGAGTCCAAGAAAGGAACAGTTTGTTTTTCTGCACTCCATCTGGGACTGGTGGGGAATTTAATGCATTTCATGTTAACTGTAAACACTTCAATCTATTCTCTTCACACGCTGCGGCAAAAGGCTGCAGAGACAGTTATTATGATAATAATATTTGTTAAATTTAACCTGTCTCAAACCAGGACAATGCAAACTGAGCATGTAGTGATAACTGCATAAGCATGGGTTGTCTTTGGTAAAAACTGCATGTTAAAATCAGCAGTAGATCCAAAAATATAGGTGGGTGGTAGGGCTGCAATAACTAGTTGATTGATAGATAATGAGAATAGTTGTCAACTATTCTCATTATTGATTAGTTGGTTGGATCCCCTAGGTCTCTCCTCCATGCTGGGAGGAGGCCACAGCAAGCAGTGGGTGGGTACAATAGCCAGCCTGCTATTGGCTATTGCAATTTGAAATAGCCAATAGCAGGCTGACTATTGTACCTGCCCACTACCTGTTGTATTTACATTCAGCTGCCGTCTGTGACATCTTGCCACTGGCAGCTGTCATTTCCTGGCTGAAGCTATTCAAGCGCCATGTGCTTACAATATAATTTTTTTTTTTAAATGATAAAATGTGGGGGAAAAAGTCATTTTCAGTTTGGCCTGACAAATTCTGCTGCTGGAGGTGCATTGCAGTGCCATTCGTTTCAATGGCACCCCAAACGTGCATCCCACCCACAGTGTGATCGCCCACACGTGGAGGCACGGTACTATAATACCGTGTCTTCCAGTGCAGTGCGATTGCAAAAAATTGTGCATACAGTTTTATTCTGAAGTAAACTTTGTTTACATTTAGGATGGTATTTATTCATTTTTGTCCGATTTTAATAAAAAATTAAAAAACAAATCGATTAGGAAAATAATCATTAGTTGCAGCCCTAGTAGGAAGACCTATTTGCAGACCTTGACTTTTCCAAGAAAGGTTAGCGTTGATCCTGACCCCTGGTTTCTCCAAAGCCTCCCTATTGTGAGGCTGCCATTTACATTGAAGGTCAATAAGTAGGCTCTGTAGGTCATAGCCTATATCTCAGGAACTACTGTTTGTATTGACATACAGTTTTCACTAAAGGATTTTTCATCATTTACTCAGTTTGAATGACTAAGGTTTGTGACTTATTGTAAACTTTGTAACTTTTATAAATGAGCCATGGTATATACTGGAGTAGCTGGATATTCACACTTTTTTTGTAGAATTAGTCCATTTTGTTCAGTTAAAACTCTGGTTCTCTGCATGGACTCTGGCTCTTCAGGTGTCTTATTTTAAAAATGGATCAGTAAACATACAAACCCGTCACACTCCTGACCGGACGAAACCCCCAAAATATAGGGTGGGTGCTTATAATGACCGCGGATGCCCCCGCAAAATAAGTCAAAAAATGCAAAAAAAAAGTCATAAGCACTCCAGCATGTAGAATAGTCAATATTTATTGACTTCTAAGGTATCACGTCATCAAAGGCGACGTTTCTGAACAATAAAGTCCCTTCCTCAGGGAAGGGGGGGAAGAGACTTTGTTGTTCCAAAACGTCGCCTTTGATGATGTGACACCTTAGAAGTCAATAAATATAATGGACTTAATTTTATAAATGGTTCTCTTGATGTCACTTTTGACTTTTTTTATACTCGCCCCAGGATGGTAATAAGGTTTAGCTGTACAGACCTCAACCAAGTTTAGTGGACACATACTCTGGAGAATACCTGCTCCCATCAGAGCCTACATTTATTTTTCTCTATGCGACAGTATTCCCTTCAACAGCAACGGTTCTAATGACAACCAGTATTTCCAACATGTCATGTCCATGTCTGAGTCATAAATTATTTCTGTGTAAGGACACAGTGGAGTTTCAGAGTACCTTGTTAAGGCAAATAAATGTAGTCCCAAAGTTTCACGTTGATCTGCAAGTAAACCCTAAAAGAAACTGAGAACATGACTTTGGAGTGCCTCAGAATCGGCCAGGAAAAGATGAAAAAAACAAAGATTTCCCCTTTTAAACAGAAAATGCAATTCTTCAAACATATTGGGGGGGGGGGGGGATTTAACAAACCTGGAGCAGACAGGATCTGGGGCAGTTGCCACTGGACACCAATTAGCTTCTATCTTCAGTTAAGATTTGGAAATAAAAGGTAGATGATGGGTAGCTGCTCCAGATTCTGCCTGCTCCTGTTTTGATAAATTCCCCTCAGTGTATCTTATTCCATCGCAAATACCAAAAATAAAGAGGTTATTCTTCCTGATAAGGGATCCTTTCAAAAATAATTTCTATGCACTGACTGACCTTGTAAGGCATTATTTTTCTGTGACGTTCAGAATGTGGGGAAGTGTTCCCAAATATACACGTAATCCATAAGGAAGTCTGTTAATGCTGCAGTGCTTGCACAATATACTATCTTGCGTTATTAAGCTATTTTGTAATCATAAACTGTCTTTTTTTTATGCAGCTTGTGTCATACTTTGGACTTTGTTGTTTAAGTTGTTTGAATTCTGTTCCTTTTTAACTTTTTTTTTTTTTTATATATACTATTGCAGAATAGTAATCTAACCACTCAGGAGCATGAAAGTATCATTGTGGTAAGTTAAGTTATTTACGTTTTAAATATAATTTGGCTGCAACTACATTGGTTGGGACACCTTCCAATATTTAAAGCCTACCTAAAGCCAGATCATTTTTTTTACGTTTTAGACAGAGTAAGTTTTGCCTTCTGAGGCCCAATTGGAAGATTTACCTCCACTTCCAAGTCCCAATGACAAAACAGGAAGTGAGAGGAAAGCTCTGCAAAGCGGGGGAAATCCCCTCTTAGTTGTCAACAAGTGTCATCACTAGAAGATTTCCCTACTTTTGCAGTTCTGGTGACAACTCTTCATGTTGAATTTTCCTTTACGTCCAGTCTCGATGACAAAGGTCATTAGGAAAAGGGCGACTCTCCTCAGCAGATGGCAATATACATTTGACAGGGTTGTTGACCTTTTTCTACACCTTTTTCTACCCTTTTAGACTAAAATAAAATAAAAAAAGCCCACTTGGGCCTTTGTTGATGGTTTTTGGGCTTGTGTCAATGAGAAATGCAGCTTGCTTTCTCATTGACACATTTCATTGCTTTCATTTCAAAATAACATAGACACTGCTGAGATTATTTAGAGTTCATTGATAAGTGCAGTTGCCCTCCTTGTGACCTGCATGATTTGACATCCTCCTCTTCATCAATCTGATTTAGCGCTTGTTGTCACAGGTTAGAAAAGATGGTACATGCATGAATCTATAACCAGCCTTTATAGCAGGGCACACATTGGGAAGGCTTACAACAATACAAAACACAAAAATTCCCCAGCCTCAACCTGCCAGCCAGCCTGCAACCAAACAAGTAGCCCTGTCAACAGTATGCGTTAAAATCAGAGGTTTTAGTTGCACAAACGTTTGGCCAAAAATATGTAGAAGCCACACTGCCGCGCCAAGGCAGGCATTTTTGTGTTTTGTGGTACATGCATGTACCATCTTTTCTAGTTTGACTATTTTTGGTTTGGGGGACGCACTGGAGTCCCAGCGTGCATTTTTGGTTGCTGGGCCTCCAGTGCATCCCTGCACCTTATTAGGAGGAGTTGGCTACCTCCAGGTACACCTGCATGTAATTTATCAACTTCATTAATATGCTCACACTTGGAGACTTGGATACATAGAGTTAGGACCACACTTTGCAGAGGTGCCTTGGCGCGGCAGTGTGGCTTCTACATATTTTTGGCCAAAAGTTTGTGCAACTAAAACCTCTGATTTTAACGCATACTGTTGACAGGGCTACTTCTTTGGTTGCAGGCTGGCTGGCAGGTTGAGGCTGGGGAATTTTTGTGTTTTGTCTTGTTGTGACAGGTGTTTGTTTGCATCAGACGGGTTTTGCGGTTTCATACAAGTCTATGGGTATGCTAAACCCACTTGAAGCAGGTCAGAAGGTGGTCAACTTTCGGTCAAATGCACCTTTCAATTAATTCTGAATGATCTTAGAAGCATCTCAACAGATGCCATGGACCCAAGCCCAAATATGGTCACCATAGGCCCTTAAGCTGCTTTTGCATTTCTATTGACCTTTATGAGGAGAGAAGCCGTTTTGAAAATGAAGAAAACTTTGTCCAAGCAGGCCCTCGGTATCAAAAAAATGTTTTAGAGATGGGGAGCAGCGCAAAGGAAGTTAAGTCGTAAAAGGGAAGCGGGGACTAGGAAGGGTTGGGGTAGGGTGGAACTCTAGACGGGTAGATCTTTGGATAATAAGGAATATACGGGGCCCCGTATATTTCATTGCAAACAGCCAGCCCTGCAAACATAATTTTCCCATTTGCTTTTATATTGAAAAGACTGTACAACTAATTGAAGAATTTATTTTGGGATCTCTTGAATTTCACCACTAGGATCCCTGTGGATTTCTTTGAAACTAGCTTAACCAAAGGAATGTGCTGGATGTTTACAGACTTGAGTATTGTTGGCTTAATACGTTGCTTAATTCTGTAACATCAGGATCACTTATTCATATTTGTGGCCTGGCAATGTTTTATTTAGGATCCAATAGTCATTGGTCTTTAAAGTATGTAATTAGGTTTATCTGTGCCGAGATATATATCAAATGGAATAGCTGTCTATCTTATCTAAAATTGCTAATTTTTTTTTTTACTTTTACCTGTTAGCTAGGCCTCACTAATTAGTCAGCTGTTCAAAGGTCTTTTTATTACTTGGCTAACCTATGCTAGTGGCTCTCTCTCTCTCACTGTCTCTGCTGCAAGAGCCTGCTGCTGGGTGAAAAGGCTGACTGCTGACAGAACACTAAAAAGGCACATGTACTGCCTATTCTTTTTTAAGAAACCCATTAGGGGGCACCCTATTACTCAGGAACTGACCTACGTTTAGTTAGCGGGCTTGGATGAGGAGATGTTTTGAATTTGCAGTACATAGAAAATCAATTAATTCTGAATGATCTTAGAAGCATCTCAACAGATGCCATGGACCCCAGCCCAAAAATGGTCACCATAGGCCCTAAGCTGCTTTTGCATTTCTATTGACCTGTATGAGGAGAGAAGCCATTTTGAAATGAAGAAAACTTTGTTCAAGCAGCCCCTCGGTATCAAAAAATGTTTTAAGAGATGGGGAGCAGTGCGCAGGAAGTTAAGTTGTAAGAGGTAGGTGGGGACTAGGAAGGGTTAGGGTAGGGTGGAACTCTAGATGGGTGGATCTTGAGTTGAACTATTTGCTTACTGCCTTGCTGAACAAAAGTGAAGGATGAAACTGCTTGGACTTGGTTGCCCTTGGCTCTTGCATGGTCATTACACTCATTTCTGTTTACTAGAGGCCAAAGCAAGGAATTCATTGCAGATATGCATACATGGTCCTTATGCCCTGCATGGGCAAAGCACAGGCTCATGTTAGGCTGCTCTGCAAGGCACCACAATTGTTTTTTTTTTTTTTAAACAGGTGCAATCTTTGGTCAACGCAATCTACATAATTAGCTATTATTATATTGTGCAATTTCCATATTGTCTGCCAGGCTCTGCATCTCTGATGTTACATGGACAGTTACCTTCTCTCTTATAAAAAAATGATGGTTCCTTCTGGTGATTTGATAGCATCATAATGGAGCCGGCAGAAGTAACTCTGACCTTCCTTAATATTTACCCAAGCACATTCGGTTGCTTAGTAATGGGATAATTAGGTGGCTTGAGTTTTCTGAAACTTTGACAGTTGTTTAACAGAAACAAGAAATAAACAAATCTCTCTGCTCGTAAAGTATCGTCTCTTGTTGTACTGTTAATGTTAGATGGAAAAACACTATAATTTCTAGTAGGCTGGGTGAAGTGTCAGCTGTGAAGGCGAGCAATGCTGTTTCTGCTTAAAGCAAACTTATGATTACATATCAAATGTATGCAAATAGTTTTTAGTTTTTATAGAAACGTGATTACTGAAGAGTTCCTTTTACCACTCTGTGATATTCGATATTCCTTGTACTCTTTGTGAATAGCTTTCTAGCAGCGTGGATGGGGGTATATGCCTTCCAGCTATTGAATTCAGACAGCCGGCTCCCAGAATCACTGTTGGGCCCTACTTTTTTTTAGTCGAAGCTGAGTGGTGCAAACAGGTCAGCCCATGGCTCAAAGTTTAGTCAATTCAGCAGGGATTCACTTAAATGCGAGCTGTGTATGGCCAGCTTAAAATCTACTTTAGGCCTCATTCACATGAGAATCGACCGCTCACCTCAAGTGCAGGTCTGTGCGGGTGTCCCGGCTCGGACGCAGACAGGATCCAACCTGTCAGCGTACGAGTACGCTCACCCGCACGGACGTGCATGGCAGGTGAGAGTAGGGCGGCGTATGGCCGTGTAGTCCCATAGAGAAGGACAGGGGCTGCGCACCAATCACACACAGCACTTGTCCATCCCGGGAGCTGCCCGATACGGCCGTGCACTCAGCACGGAGCTGTACGTGCCGGTCGATTCTCGTGTGAATAGGACCTTAGTGTGTGTGTCCTCTACTTTCCTCATCCTGAGTTTGGTCAATCACTTCATCACAAGCATGGTGAATGTTTCAGTGTATGTGAACTCAAAAGCAAAATGTTGTATACTTAAGCTTCCCAAGCCTTAGATGTGGTGGCTGCATTAGTTTTCTTTTTTTACAAGCTTATTTTACAAACTTATTTTTCATCTGGTCAATTTGCCTGAGCTAGGATGACAGCACTCACTCAGCCTAGTGTATCAGGATAGGGCTGCAGGACTTCGTTGTTCTCCTCTCCTCCATAACACAGAGAGGTGTGGTTCTGTAGTCCTCAATGCACAATATAAATACAATTTAATACTGCATGAAATAAGTGATATCATACTGAGGTACCTTCTAATTTTATGGTGACCAAGTTATTTCTTTTGTTTTTCAGGCTATTGCTCCTCTTTTGGAAAACAACCACCCTCCTCCTGATCTCTGTGAATTCTTTTGCAAGGTATGTTTGACCTGTAGAATATATTTGGATATATAAGGCACCCAGCAGAATGAACTGGAAGTTGTAATTCAAAAAAGAGTGAGAGCATCGGTATTTGTGGGCAACGCTGGATTGTAATCTGTAATAAATATTTGGGATGTTAATAGCTTACTGTAAATAATCTTATCCCATGTTTGTTAGTTTTCTATAATTCATGCAATTGGATAGAATAGGAAAGAGTTAGAGCTCCTGTCGGGTTTTATTGCTGTTATTGTCTCTGCTGCAGAGATTCACCACTCTAGGTGTCCTGTGACCATTGTCACCAAGACAGAAAGTCGCTGGAAATCCAAAATGTTAGTTGTTAGCAGAACATGAGGTGTGGGTAAACCTTCTAATGGGGATAACAGTTCCGGTGAAAGTTGTCTAAGGAGGGAATTCCCTACAGAAATGTCCTTTCATTTCCTGTTGCATCCTCAGGACAGGAAACAAAGGGAAATTCTACACTGAGACACAAGTAGCAAAAAATAAATTGTTAGGGGTTTTAACACTTGCCTTTCTCATTCATAGATAGATATAGATATATACAGGTGAAACTCGAATAATTAGAATATTGTGCAAAGTTCATTTATTTCACTAATGCAACTTAAAAGGTGAAACTAATATATGAGATAGACTCATTACATGCAAAGCAAGATAATTCAAGCCATGATTTGTCATAATTGTGATGATTATGGCTTACAGCTCATGAAAACGCCAAGAACCCCAAATCCACAACCTCAAAAAAGTAGATTATTACATGCAATCAATAAAACAAGGATTGTACATAGAACAATATCGAACCTCTGAAAAGTACAAGCATGCATATGTACTCAGTACTTGGTTTGGGCCCCTTTTGCATCACTTACTGCAATTACTTTTGCACGATATTCTAATTATTCGAGTTTCACCTGTATGTGTATATAGATATATATGTGTGTGTGTGTGTATATATATATGTGTATATATTTCTACACATTTTTTTTTCAATACCCTCATGCACCTGAATGTGTATAAAATATTGTCATTCACTCTTATGTCCTGTCACCATTATTAACATTTTAACATTTCTGCTACTCCAGCACTGTAGAGAGCGTCCTCGTTCCATGGTGGTCATTGAGGTCTTTACCCCAGTCGTACAGAGAATCCTCAAGCACAACATGGTCAGTATTGATTTCCTTTATTGACTCCATATTAATACTGAGTCGTTGATCTATTTTCCTATTGTGCATTAAAGCATTACTTTCCCTTTTGGTTTAGTTCTTGTTTCTATGAAATTTTAGCTCGCCCTCCTTTCTTCCAAGAAGTTAATTTATTAACTGTGTTGCTTCTTATAAAGAGAGACTCACCTGTTGGAAGCTCAGCAACCGCTCTAAAAGTTGGGATTCCTTGATCTAACTTCAACTTAGCTCTTCTAGACTGTGCAATTCATTGCTGAAATTAATGGAGGTTTAAAGTGGCAAACTCAGGAGTTTAATCTTAAAAACGTATTCTAGTACCTTAATGGAGAACTATGGGGTCGGCTAGAACTATGAGGTGAGTGAAAAGCACTCACCTCATAGTTCTCCTTTTAACTATTAAAAAAAATCTACCTTGTTTGTGTGTCACTCGGGTGTAGATCCTCAAATCATCTCTGAATTCATGCCGACACGGTCCTTCATTTTGGAGGGTGGCTACTTTTGTTCCCCATGGTCCCCGTGTGTGTACTAAAGTAGTCACCGCTCCAAGCTCACTCCTGTAAGAGACTACATTTTCAATACAAATTAGTAAATAAACGTGATATTGAAGTGAGCTCGGAGTGGTGACTACTTTACTTTACAACACACACAGGGACCATGGGGAACAAAAGTGGCCACCCTCCAGAAGGAAGGACAGTGTCAGCACCAATTCAGAGATGATTTGAGGATCTACACCCCAGTGATACACAAATTAGATACAATTTTATTAATAGTTTGCTAGTTTGTGTCCTCCCGTTACCCTAAGGAGAACTATGGGGAAAAGCCCTGACCCCATAGTTCTCCTTTAAGGTACTTGAATCCAATTTTAAGATTTAACTCCTGACTTTGTCACTTTAAATTTCATATGATTCTTATGTTGTGTAGTTTTGGATAAGGGGATCTCTAACTTTGTCTAAACTACAGCTGCCATATTCTGAAAAGGAAAAAAAAAATCATTAGCCGTATTGTGTATTGCTGAGCATAGTTAAAATGTGTAAGGATGCTCAGCATCAGTCCAAAAATATATTGGGCTTGTGCATCTATAAATTGGCTTAAACGAAAACTGAATTTGTTTGCCCATGGCAACTAGCTGGGATTCATCTATCTTCTCTCCAGTGCAGGTTAGAGATTGCTAATGTTTGGTTACAATGGGCAATAATAACTGATCTTTCAGACTCTCTTTACGTACGAGGTCCATTTTGCCTGCAGCTGATTTACACCTACTTATTCTGTAGAGCGAGTTTATTAAAACTTCAGGGAAAGTGTGTTACCCATGGCAGAGCGGCCTTTGGTTACATGTTTTAATTGCAAACTAACAGGGTTATTCACAAAAGGGTGAAGAATTTGGAGAAGTCAGGAGAAGTGAACAATCTAGGAAAACATAGCTGAACTGGAAAGTGAGCTGAATTGGAGAATTTTTCCAAATCAGCTATTTAGTCCTAGATTGTTCACTTCTCCTGCCTTCCCCACACTCTTCACCCTTTAGTGAATAGCCCTGTAAAAAATGAATGGTAGAATTTTAACTAAATCTGCAGGCCTAGAACCGCTAAATCCCTATTCCAGCCATTTATTTTCAGTTTTGGATAGATTGAGAAAGGGTTGGAGTGATTCATTCTCAATTCCTGTCCTAGAGACCACACAGGAAGTGAGGGGAAATTTCCCCAGTTTGTTAAAAAAGAAAAAAAAACAATAAAACCTTTATAGAGTTCTGTGCAAAACAGATAAGATTTTGCCTCTAGGTTCTGTACAACAGCTAATAATCTTTTAACTTTGCAAAAATACTGCTTACGTGTACAGTCTCAGACAGTGTGCACATCCTGCAGCTCTCTATACATTCTCAGGGCCACTATAGCAGTTACCTGCATTTTTCTGCGCCCTATTCATGCCATAATTCAGGTAAGACAGGCAGGCCCGGATTTACTCTCTCTGCTGCCCCAGTGCCAGGTTCCTCAATGCGCCCCCCTGTATGCAGGTTGCATACAAGTGATCTCGGCGACATCACCGAGATCACTAGTACAAAACAAGCGGCACCTTCCCCTCTGTACATTTAGCCCTGCTTGCCCAAAGCAAGGCTAAATGTAGAAAACTACCCACCCGGCGCTGCATGTCCCAGGCATCGGGAGATAAGAATTCCACACCCCCGCTGCTCCGAGGCCGGGCCTTGGTTGGCCTTGTGGGAAATCCGGCCCTGAAGGTGGGCAGTGCACTCCAAAAAAATGCATATATTCCACTGCACCTAGGATGCCACTGCAAGTCGCCACACGACGCTGCTGTTCGTGGACTTGAATGGAGTGTACGCATTGTACACTACCAATTAAGTTATAAAGAAAAATGGAAACCGTGACTGCAGCTGCAATGCACTGGCCTGCCCCCTGAAACTGAGTGTTTTAGCCGACAGGCTAGTGTGAACAGGCCCTTCATGTAAGCAAGCACCTGCTTGAAGCTGAAGATGGTGGAGTAGCAGGCTAGCTTATAGTGTATACCAGGAGTAGGCAACCTTGGCAAAACCCTGGGACCCCATGTCTCCTGCATTGAGAGTGATGCTTATGGCTGTCAGTCTTGAAATGCATCATAAGACTGGAGTGCCAAGGTTGCCTACATCTGGTGAATATACATAGTGTGCAGTCTGGCCAAAATTATGTTCATTGTTTGAAAGTTAAAAAAAAAAATTGACGAAGGCCACGGCTTTAGTTAAAAGCAGATAAATCCCTTTAGCTATGGATAACCTCTCCACTTTTCCTCCAGTTTGTAGAAAGCAGCCCTGATGACTCTCTGACAGCAATACAGCTATGAATTAACTTGTATGCAAAGCAGTTTCATCCAGGTAGCTAAAAGGAGAGTCATTCTCCCTCTGGTATGAACTGCTGTTGTAAATGAATATATATTTCCCCAATTCCAATAATTCAAGGGTATCAAATGAATTGCAGATGTACTGGATCTCTTTTACCGGCTTGGATACCTCTCTCTATCTGCTGGTGGAGGTTGGAAAACACCTGCATATGCAGGTAATATTGTGTGTCGACTATCTGTTATGTCACATGTAATAGAGAAATAGTTATGTGTCAGGTGGATATTCTATACTGTATATGTGCATTGTGAGAAGATACAATTCTTGTCATATGAATGTTTCTTATTTTGTTTGCACATGCTTCAGCCTCAGTAATTACAATTTGTAATGGTTACATAGAGATATGAAGGTTTGCTTTCACATACCTCATTTCTGTACATACAGAGAAAACATTGTGGAAGTGAATGTCCATCCACAACTTTTTTTTTTTTAGTTTTGGATGGAACGGGGAAGAGTTTAGAACCCCTTTTGGATTTTACTGCTATCTGGGGCTTTGTTAGTAAGATGTACCCTCACTTCCTGTCCTGTTAACAATGTTTTACCAGACAGGAAGTCAAGGAAACTCTCCAATAGCATCCCAGAGGAATACTTTTTTTTTTTAGCTTGATGTGCACTTCAGACACCTTTTTAAGAACCAATCAGATTCTTCATTTTCTATTTAGAGAGTATGCGGGGAATAAAAGTAGAATCTTGTTAATGGCTATGGGTAGCACCAGTGGTTTGAGTTAATTCTTCTCTCGGCAGTGGGGGGCTTCTCAGATCAGCAAAATTGTCATCAATTGTGAAGTGTCGGGGTCTACTTGCCTGGATAGATTTTAGGCGGATCCTTTTGGTAGACCCTCATACTTGGCTATTAATTATTGTTGTGAGTCTAACCGATCTGAAACAAAATTAAACTGTGGCTGGCTTTAAATGAGAACTATGGGGTCAGTGTTTTTCCCCATAGTTCTCCTTAGGGTAACGGGAGGACACAAACTAGCGTCCTCCCGTCACCCAAAGCTCAGTATGTAGCTCGCGGTATACTGAGACACCGCAGCCGGAACGGATCCCGACAATGCTGTCTGGATCCACCCAGCTGCGTGAGTGACAGCTGGTTCTGCCTATCTAGAGGCAGAGCAAGCTGTACCCGCCCCCTCCCCCGTCCGTTCCGCCAGTCAGCACTGCAGGATCGGACAGGGGAGGGGGGATACCTGCAGGGAGCCGTGAGTGAGTCACTCACGGCTCTCTGCACAAATAGATCGAGAAGTGAGCGAGCGACGGTATGTGTTCGCTCACTTCCCGATCTGCTGAGCGGACATGTGACAGTTTAATTTATTAGCTTCAGCCTTATAATATATCTATAGCCATTTTTATTTTAGTTTTGCATATTGTAGGGGAATAAGACCTCATTCTGACAATAGAACTGATTCCTCCATCAATGTTTACGAGCTATACACATTTATTCTGGCTGGCGGCCACTGTCAGAATACCTGAATGGAGCTAACAGCTGATTGCTAGCTCCATTCGGGCAATAATTTTCCAACCAGCTCCTTCGATCAGCTGATCAAGGGATGCTGGGCGGGGATGCCCCAGTTTTGGCTATGCAGGAGAAATGGGGAGGCACAGCCTCATTTTCTGTCAGTATTTCTACTGCTGATATATATTGAGGAAAACCAGACTGATTGGACAAGGTTTTCCAACCCATTTGTGTTGCCATAGATAATGCACACTGCTCAGATTCCCAAACCGGCTTGCACTGTGATTGCATCCCAGGTACAGACAAACAAGCGCGCCATCGCCTATAACAGCTAAATCCAGAAATAGCCGCAGTCCAAGGGTTGTCACAAAACGTAAAAGTCTTTATTTATGGAGCAAGTACATAGTGTAAACTTCCTTACCGTTTATGCTCAGCCTCCAGCGTGTTTCACATTTCTGGCTTACTCAATAAGTATATTATTGACCAGTGTTACGCAACCTTTTTTTCAGTCACAACATCCTTTAAGGAGTATGCAGAATCTCGAGGCATCCAGTCTGAAATGTAAAAAAAAAAGGTTTGGTCCCCCCTAAAATCTATACAAAATCCTTATCCTAGATAGGAGTCTGGTATGGATTTTAAGGGGATACTCCATGCAAAAAAAAAATGACATAGGGTACCCCCTTAACATCAGAGTCCCTGTCTTCACATCAGAAACTCCCTTTCACATCAAAGTCTCCCCTTAACATCAGGAGACCCACTTCAGAGTCCTAACCCTCTATTCATTACCACAGTGCGGCTGTGGCGGTTTTGCGGAGGGTGTGAGGTAGAGCAGGTCTTTACAGAGGCGAACCTCTGTCCTCTTCTGAATGCTGGGGGACGTCCACCTTGGATTAGCATCGTGTGCTTCCATGGTGCTGGTGACCAGCTTGCCTGTACTATGGAAATGCATGGCACTGTGCGAGAATTTGAAGGCACTCCTGACAGGGCAGAAGGCACTCCCGGGTGTCCACTGCGCCTTGGTTAAAGGGTTATTAAACCCTCATTTGTTTTTGCATATATCTACTGCTAGCAAGCAGTAGATATATGCAAAATGATTAAAACAAAAACTTTTTGAAAGGGTTAATACTTACCTGTGTCTCCGCCGCGCGCTCCCGTCCGAACTTCTGAAAATTTCTCGGGCAGCCGCAAAGGATCTTGGGACGGGTGCATGCAAAGATGTTCAGCTGAGAGACGAGGAGAGACACGAGGTAAGTCTATGGAGCAGCGTGCACCCGCACAGACTCCGTGGGACATGAGCGAAGAGGAGGACAGAGGAGTCAGCGTTGGATCGGAGACCCGCACCAGGCTAGAGCGACAGGAAAGAAGAAGAGGGTGGATTAAGAGACATCATTTAAGGTAAGTCCTTACTTTAGCACTGTGGGGGGGCACTTTACCTTTAATGTCACTTTAAGAAAGGCTGCTATTGACATTAGCTTGCCACTTGTGTTTTAAAGAGGGTGAAAGGGTAGATTGTCATCTAATGTCTATGGGCAATCTCAGGAAAGGTACAAACGGCTACTGGATGCCAAAGATCATCTGTTGCCTGTGCTAATGCCAGTGACAGTTCCCTTTGCTCAATCAAGAGAACCCGTTTGCTTCAGCGCCTAACCCTGCATGCAACCTTTGAATCTGCACAGCGCAAAGCCCCACTAACTGAACTAAACAGCTCAGTATGAACTTTCCAACCTGCCAAATGCTGCATTTCAAAGCTTATATGTACAGTACGATCCAATAGCATGTCCTGAGAGATACTTCTATGTACACCACAATACACTTGAACCCTAACTGGACTTTATCAAAGTGGCTGAAAAAAAGAACGGTCTGTTGTTTTATATAAGCCAATGAGATGGAAACTTTTCCTGAAATAATATTTGGAGAATTAAAGGTTTTTTTGTTTTTTTTTATGAATTAAATTGGATTGAACTGTAGACATACCCTGAAGGGAAATATCTGAATCTGCAGCAATCAAAGCATTGAAAATAATATACTATACCTTTAAAACAATGTACTGTATTTTATATTTGTATTCAGTTATAGAAGGTGCACCAAAATATTACTTTTGTTTTATTATGGGGGGTTTTTTTTTGGTTTGCAATAAAACATGAAATCCAGAGTTCACCAAGTATAATTATGTTAAACTGTGTTTAATGTATCTGTATATGACCACAAGCAGTGCCTGTTACACAGCCGATACGGCCATTTTATGAGTTGCACAACTCAGTCAAGTTATCGGTTCCTTGTGAATTCTCCTAGTTCTTGTTTCAGCACACAAATGGCTTCTCAAATGGCTTCTCTTGCCTGTATAGATGCTAAATTTCACAGTGTCATTGTAAGCACAAATGATAAATTAATGTAAGTGAATAATATGTGTGTTTATTTGATAATGTTTAATGGCTGGGTTAAATTGTAGCATGGAATTGATTGCCACTGTTAACTGACCTTTATTATATTTAAACTTCTGGATAATCCTGTGGAAGACAGTACGTCTAATTGCAGTTCAACTCCATTTATAGGCCACTGTGTGGGCTGCCAAAACTCTGTTGAAGTAAAAAAAAAAAGGGATAAAACCTCTGCCAGGTTTTTATTTGTGGTCTGTGACCCCCTTTTGGGATATTTCCCCTCACTTCCTGTTGGAAATGGAAGTGATAGGGAATCTTTCCAGACCTGCAATTTTTTTCACTGCATTGATGAATGGTTAGAAACTCTGCCAGGTTAATATTGCTTCCTTTTGTCATGCTGTCCAAGGGACAGGAACAGGAAGTGAGGTTAAATATCCAAGTCACAGACTGCGATAACAACTTGATAAAAGTATTTACTCTTCCCAAGTAAAGAAAAAAAAAAATTTGGCTGGAGTTGGGCTTGGA